TTTTTTTTTTTTTTTTTTTTTTTTTTTTTTTTTTTTTTTTTTTTTTTAGTTTCCCATGGTGTATCACTGGCATTTGCTGGCTCATGTGGAGACTGAGATGCTGTCTGGGCGAAGAGAGGAGCAATTTTTTATGTTGAAATTGAAATGGAGTGTCAACTGAAGAAAACTAAGAGGTTCCAGGCAGAACTGCAGCCCAGAACTGCAGGAGAAAGGCTTTTATTGAGGAATGAAGCAAAATAGGGAGTGAAGAGCAAGGGGCATGGCAAGGACTCAAGCTGGAGTCTAATACTTTATTTTTGTCAAAGCTGGGGGTAGTTTTGCCTTTCACTTAGAACAAAAGCCAGTCCCCAAAATCCAGAGGGGTGAGTGGAAGTCAAGATGTGAGGGGACCCTGATGCTTTGGACCCCCACAAACATTTTTCCCTGTTCCTCCCCCCCAAAAAAGTGGTTTATTCTGCCTGTATGAGAGACTCAGTTACATCATCAGTCCCTGATTTCACGGCTCTGTGTCCTGGCTCTGCAGCCCCTCCTGCCAAGGCTGGTCCAGTGCAGCAGTGGGGAGCCTGCTGCCACTTAGGTGGTCCCAAATTGCTTCTTGCTTCTTGTTGCTCAGCTTCCTTGCCAAGTTTGGAAGGACTCTGTGAGGGCTTTTAGCTCTGAGCAGTGGGTTCACTAATTAGCACATATATTAATTTCAAGGTCTGCACCTCTCGGCTGCAGCTTTTGGGTCCCACGTGACAGTGCAGGTGGAGGTTTCTCTCTGGGAATGGGGAATGGATGTTCCTTGTCTCAGTGTGCTTTTTGACCATGGAATTGATCCAATGCAAAGAGAGAAGGGACACTGTGGTTCTAGGGAAAATACTTCCTGCTGAGCTGAGAGCTGTATTGGCACAGAGATGATGGCAAGTACACATGGAGCCAGTTTTCTCTTTCCTCATAGCCTGAGGGTCTCAGGGGTGTGGGACACAAGTCCATGCCTTTCAAACATGCTCCAGACAGCGTCTCTTGTGATGCTGACATTGTCCAAAATTGCTGAGGACACGTTTCTCCCTTCCCCTGCAAGCACATGGAAGAGTATCACTATCAGCTCTGCCTTCTTTCAGGGAAACCATCTTCTGTGAGATATCAGATCTTGATAATCTTCCAGCTAAATGCATGTCAAGGAGACAAAAGTATTAAGAGAGGAAGCAAAAATTATTCACTGACTCATTTTTAATGAGTGTACTGAAAATTACTGTAGATTTCAACATCTGTTTTGACTGGGACAGGAAGGCAGCATTGCAAAGGGTGCAAAGATACAGATCCCCTTTCAAAAAGAAAGGCTCCACAACCCCTGTCAGGGTCTCATTTGTGGAACCATAAAATGTGTCTGCTGGGGGTTTGCATGTGAAACATAGTTCTGTATAAAAGAAAGGCTCTTAGGAAGGCAGAAAAATGCAGATTTTCTGGTGTGGTGGCATCTTGGTGAGCATGTCTTTACAGGACAAATGATCTCCACCAGGGGAGAAGCAGGAAAGGAGATGGCATCTAACCATGCCTCTGCCTGTCCATGGCTGTGCTGCTCCTGCTACCATTAAGAAAAAGGTGGTGGGTGTTCACAGGGCTTTGGGAAGGGGATGTAACACTGGCTCACCAGTTTTCTAATTAAAGGTCATGATGGTCCTCATGAGTTACTGGAGGATATTTCATGGCAAGAAAATGAGGCAATCAGATGCCACGGGAAGCCCAACGATGTGAATCACAGCTACATCCTACTCTGCAAACTGCACTGCTGATTCACATATCCGTGAGGCACCGCTTGGTAACAGCCAATTACTAAATTGAAACTATCCTGGTGCTCACTTCCTCGCTCATTTTATTGAGATCTGCTTCAGGCCCCTTGTTAAAATAGCTGCAGAGTGCTGGCGGGCTGATGTGGAGCAATGTGTGGGTGGTGTGTCATTCGGAATTCGGATGGAGTGCCTTGCACAGACCCCTCTGGGCACTGCGGTACCTCTTGCTGGAGGTAATCAGCCCTCGTTAAGCCCCATTAGTCTGCTGGCAGTCAGCTGAGTCAGGGGGTGATGAGGTGGTGCCACACCTTATGCTGCAACCTCATCCCACCATCCCACGGTACAACATGAACTTTTTGTGTCTTAACCTGTTTTGTGGCAGGAGCAGGATTTACAGGGCAGGAAAGGCGTTTACTATCCCAAATGCAGAATCGAGGTGCTGTGAGATGTGACCTGTGATGCACAGCAAAAGCAAGAAGGACATTTCCAAGTAAGTCTTGACTTCAGGGAACAGGATATGACCGTGATGGAGCTGATGGTTGGGTGCATCCTCATAAATGTTCAGTTGCTCTTCTGCCTCACATCAGCTGAGAGTTTTCCACAAATTCATCGTTGCAACAGGAATTAGAGTTAGTGCTTTAGGGGCATGGGTATAGTTTGCTTTGTACTGGATAGGTAATAACATGTTAAGAGGGAAAGAAACAAACTTTCTATGAAGAGAGACCATGTTTTGATGAAATATGTATGAGAAAAGCAAGAAAGCCTCAAGAGAACATGACAATTATTGCAGTTCTTGACTGTATCAGGGGCAGATTTGGAGGTCTTCACGATGTGCCATGGAAAATGGGCCAGGAGGTGAAATCAGGCACCAAGAAATGCCTGTCAGCAGGAGCCTGCATTGCTCTGGGTCACTCAGCTGGGGAGTCTGGACAGGAGGGCTAGGAAGCAGAAAGGTTGCTGTCTCCTTACTAATGAAGCCGATTATTCCCTTCCAGAAGTAGGGAAGGCAGATGTGAAACATCTTTCCAATAACGTCAAAGATGTTATTGCATTGTTTGTGGCCCTGTTTGGGTGATTCAGGATTTCCAGTGTTTGTGCCTCATCACAATAAAAGAAGGAGGTGCTCACATCCTTGTGCACCCAGAGGAACCAATCTGAACCCTGAGCTTTTAGAGCCAAAGAAATCAGATCCATGTGCTGAGAGACAGAAAAGGCAGCCACGTTTTGAAGCTTACTAGATTTTCCTTCATTGTGCTTTTACTCTTGTTGGATCCCTGTACAAAGCCTGACTCATGGCTTTGGGAAGGAGAGCAGTAAGTGTTGCCTGCTCAGAAAGCCAACTGCTTTCAGTTCCCCCAAACCACCATGCTGGACTCTCAAGTTCCTTGTCTGGGTGACTTCCAACCAAAAATTCCCATTTGTAGTCATCAAAGAATACAAAGAACAAACGGTTCCATATTGCACATTTCAGTCTACCAGTCTTGTACTCTCCTTTATCTTGTCCTCTTTGGCACAATGCCCATTTGCCTCAATCTATTTTTGGAATGAACATAAGATTGCCTGGCATGTCCCCAAAAAAACTTGTTAACTCAGGATACCCTTTAGATCACAGAATGAGTAAACATAACTCTGTGCTGGCCTTTATAAATTATTTGCCCTGAGAAAGCAACTGGAATTTTGTCCATGGACAGCAGAGCTTGCAGTATTTCTTTGTACAGCCCAGAACAGAGATGCCCAGGTCATTCGGAGAGCTTTGGTCCCCACTTTAGCAACGTTGGTCTAAGGCGGGGCCGTTTTCTGATCAAACTTTTTTTGGTGGGAAAGTTGAACTTCTGACATCTGAATTTTGTGGCATTTTAAGTTGGGAGTTGACTTTTTCTCTGGAAAAATGTAGTCCTCTCATGGGAAAGTGAGAGCATGGCCAATCTAAATAGTAAAGAAAGTCACATAGTGCTTGAAACACTTCTGTGCTCGGGGAAGTGGGCAGTTACTCTGTGTTGCTCTTTTGCTTTACAGAAAACCCCTCCAAACTTCCCTGTAGGTGTGTCACCCTACATTACATGGTGCTGACATTACCTGGTATAGATTTGGACAGCAGGACAGACGAACATTGAGGTATTTCTGATTTTAGAAGCATGTCCTTACAGACACAATTCCTCTGCCTTATGGCAAATCTTTTATTCTGTTTCAATGTCTTAGAGGATCTGTATAGCTGGTCCCAGGTAACTAGGAAATACAATTTGTAATCCTACTTCAACTTAGGCAAAAGAATGAGAATCTTAAGGATTCCCTAATGAAATCAAACTGATATTCTGCGTTGGGTTTGCAGCACTGGAGCACACGACTTAGACTGTGTTCTTGCCTGTGAGTTATCCATGAGACTGAAACTGTAAATGACTTTTCCAGGGTGTGAATGGGACACTCAGTTTTTCACAGCAAACCCTCATCAGCAGTACCCCAGGGGATGCAAATTGGCACAACTTTGCTGCTGCTGCACCTTCTTCACGTCTTGGCTGCGGGTGTTTGCAGCCTAAAAACCCCCACACTGTTGATATTAACAGAGTGAGATGTGGAAAGCCAACCAAGCTCAACCCACCCCCAAATCTCATGCCTGACCAAGGTTCAGAGCAGGACTTGGTGGGGCTTGCAGGCCTCAGCTGTGAATTGTGACATTGCTGACGGGAGTTTCCTGTTACAGTTGGAAAAGCTACCTGGATTCGGGCAGAGCTGCCCTCTCCCAGAGAATCACATGGGCCTGGAAACAGAAATAAACTTCACATGGCATTTCTGCTTGCTCCTCTGAGCTCCATGGTGTATCAAGAGGTTGGTGTCAGCAAATGCATCACTTTCCACTTACTGCAGTGTTATTTCTAGACCCTTGCTTGGTTTACAAAGAACAGAAATCTGATCAAATGGTTGGATGAAGCACAGGATAAACCCAGCTGTTCTACAGATGTGAAATGGTAGAGAGCTTTCTGGTTCTGTCCCTTTTCAAAACCAACCAGCTCCACTTCTTCAGCCTGCAGCCTCTTGAGCACTGTCACAGCCTCTCCACCTCAGTGGAAAGACCAAATATCCTCCCCACTCTTTCATGGTTGGAAACCCATCTGCAAGAGACTCGGCACACAAATATATTTTTTACAGTCTCAGGGCTCTCTGTGAGTAAAATGATGTGAGTAAAGCAATTATGATGATCGTAATAGCTTAAATAAAATGAGAAACTATGTTTAATAAGAACAATTTAACAGTGAACTTGGCTTAGCTGTTATTAATCTGTTTGCTCAAGCTGAATTTCTATGAAGAGGATGTCAAAAAACTTCAAGAATTCTCTACATGCATTTGTCCATGGGGTGAACTCAACTCTTCCCTTGGCATTCAGGTTTCTTCACTTTTCCTGATGTGCCCAACTAGAATTGCAGGTAAATGTCATGAGTCTCTCTTTTCAGCTGTTCTGATGGAAAATTGTTTCCTGTCTCATGTTTTCTATGCATACAAAGCTGAAATACATTGGTGCCATGCCGTTATCCTTTACCCTTTTTTTCTATTGCAAGGCTTGTGAGGAATACACTCTATTTTCTCCTCTGATCTGCTCTCTAAATGGTGATACACTGGAAGATATTAAACAGCAGAACAGCAAAGAGGATATGTTTTATATTATTTTGTTTATAAGAACACTCTAGGCTAGTAAATAGCTACACCCTTCGTAAGTGTTTTCAATTTTCCCTTTGAAGTACAAAACAAGTAATGCTTTCAACAAGCAGCTCTTCTTTGTCAAGGATTTTTCTCATTTTAGGGTACCCAAATAGTTTGAAAATCAAAATATTTCCAGAAAACATGTTTGGGACATACCTTTTTCTTTTTTTTTATTTTTTTTTTTATTTAGAACCACATGAAATTTGAGCTGTGACTATAAAGATAGGACTGTTCATGATGCTGAATTCTTTGTGCTGAGTAGAATATCTTTTAGGGTGAGAACTGATGTGTGAGCTGTAAAAAGACACAGCAACCTTATAAAGTCACTTGCAGGAGGGACTTCACTTTTTTTATTTTTTATTAAATTCAGCAAAAAGCATCTTGTATAACAAATCAACAACTCGAGCTATATAGGGAAGGATTGTACCTTCAGACACAAATCGGTGGCCTGGATTAAGATATTCTTGTGGTGATCATTTCTTGGAAATGAATGACCAGACCATGGCATTCCAGTGTCCCTGCTATGCTGTTCCCAGCAGCTTGAAATGATCACAAAAATCTCTTATTTACCAGGTCATACCTTTTCCTTGGAGAATTCCCGAGTTCAGGCCTGATACCTTGTCCCTTTTTCCAAGTGGGGCACAAACGTGGGATTCTCCTTGGCTTCACTGTGAGAGAACTTGAAAAATGAACTCCCAAAGTGAGGTGGCTCAGACCCAACTTATTCTAGGTTGGCCTTACGTCCTCATGGAAGGCTTTTTGGTCTTGCTGTGGCCAGGGTGGTTTCCTCTAAATGTGCTGTATTCCCTGTATTGTTCTAGACTTCCAGGGAGGGTTTGTTATTGCAACCCAGTTTAAGGTCACCTTGAGAGTGGCTGGGCTTGGCACAGCTGATTTCTGGGCCCAGGACTTGGCTGCTGATCTTGAGTTTTTGACTGATTACACAGAAAAATTTATAGATTAAGTCTGAATAAACCCTTCAATTAAGGTCATGGTAAATAAGATTCTAAGGTTAAAGCACTTTATGGCAAGCAGGCTTCTAGGAACTAGTTGTATTAAGAGTAATGATTTGATTAGGGAATGAGGATCAGGAGTGGGGAGACAGGAACCTGACCTCAGCAGTAAAATGCACACAGTTGCTTTTTTCCTCCTTCTTGGAATCTGATGTAGAAAGGTACAATTAAACAACATGGCCAACATTTCTGCAGGCCAACCCAAACCATTTGTGCTTTTCCTGACTCCAGGCATCTGCACAGAGTTTTGCTTTGCTTTAGAATTCCAAGCCAAATCTGCTTCCTTGCATGCAGCACGAAGAGGTTCCAAGGTGGGAGCTGGTGCTGGAACCCTCAGCTGGCTGGAGATGGTCGAGGTGCCCCTGGAGGTGAACTGAGTTGAGCTACAGGGCTGTCTGGCCTCAGAATAAGCTCAGAATAACTCAGAATAAGCTTTTGGACACCACCAACCAACAGGAGTTGAATTGAAGGCTATCTGCAATCAGGATGTAGTTTGGAAGTGCAACAAGGACAGATAGTCTGGGTCACATTGTTGGACCCGGCTCAAACTGGAGCGAGGAGGGGAAGGGGGGAATACAGAAGCAGCCAAACACCCACACGACCCCAGTGCCAACCTTCAGTGCTTCTGCAGTATTTGATTTGTTGTTTCCTTAGAAAGCCAGGCTGAGCTCCCGGCAGCAAATCATTTTCAACCTCCCTGTCTGAGTTAGAAAGGAAAGGCTTTATCCCAGGATTGAATACTTCCAATATCACTGGAAATGCCGAGTGGTGTTTGAATTCTTCTTATTCTTCCTTCTTATCTTCCTGCAGGAGGAAGCCTGTCCTGGGAGCGGGGTTCATACACTGGGATCCCACTGCTGAGGTGTTAAGGAGATGTCCTCTGGTTTGCTCGTGAGGATGCAGCCAAGAGGGCTGGGAATGAAAGGGGTAGACACAGGGAGGATGCATCCTCATGGACCACAGTTCTCTGCCTGGTAGCCATTAACCAAGTGTGGATGTTCTGCTCTACAGTACAGGTGTGATTGAACCAATTCATCTGGTGGGGCTACAAGGTAAGATCTGCTGAGGCAGCAAACATTTCCATTTACTTCACTCAACTTCTCTGTTGAATTATTGAAGCCCTGCTTTGAAGCCCAAGGTAACACAAGTTGAAGAGACTGACTTAGACAAAATTTAAACATGAGCTTTTTCACTGGCAAACACTGAGTAATAATTCCATTGGCCTCAGTAGAAATGTCCTGGTCTGAATGCAGCATTTTCCAGGTCCAAATCAGCTTGTGTTTGTGGAAGTTTCATGCCATTTTTTTTGCACAGTTTATTTTCTCAAATGAGAAAGAAACATCCAGAAATATCATGACTTCTACAGAAAACAAGCTGGAATAGGCCAAATAAAATGACAGTCTCCATTTGGCAGGGAGCAGAGTTGATGCAATTACCTGATTTTTATTAAGGAATGAGTAGAAAGGTATGAATTTGATACATTGCCTTTTTCTGTCCAGAAATATCATGGCATACAGAGCAGAAAAGATAAACAGCTAAATGCTTTAGCAAAAAATGACCTATGTCTAAGTCTATAATCAGATAATGCTCAATTATAAGACTTAAGAGATGAAATAATGGTCTAAAATTATTTTCCTTAATTTATTTTCCTTCTCTGCTCTACCAATGTCAAGTTTCCTTCAAATCTCTCCCATTTGCTGAATTTTTCTGTGGCAGAAATCTGGCCTGGTCTCCTGCAAACTAGAGCACAAGGGATCCTTTAAAAATATCCCAGACAGATAATTTTCTCTTTGTTGTTTTCTTGATGATATTAGAAAACACAAGACCTTTGTGTGAAATCTCTGCTACTGTGACATGTGGAAAACAACCATGGCATCCTCCAGAAGAACCAGAGCTGATGTACAGACTCAGAAAGAGTACAAGTAAGAAAAACTAAATTTGTTGAGGCATTGAGGAAACCCTGTGTCTCTCTCTATATGTCTGGAGTTTGGTTTTGTTTTCCCCAAGGGGGATCCATGAAATCATATGTACCTTAAAGCACCCAGTGAGAACCAAGTGGTGTTTGCTGAGCACCTGGGCTGCCTCTGCATCCCTGGAGAGAGACAGACACCCCTGGGGACCCCACAAACCTGCTGTTGATGGCTGAGAGACCAGAGAATGAGGTCAGCTCTTAACTGAGGTAAGGAAAATCTGTGTTATGGGAGGAAAGAGGAGAATAAACCAGTTTTAACTGGTGTTAAGGGCAGCCACCCCTGAGGTGATGTTGTTGGACTTGGCTGTGTGAGAAGCACCAAGGGAGACAGAGGGTTTGAAGGGATTCCCACAAGCCCCTCCAGGTCCTGTCATCCCATCTGAAAAGTGGGATTTGATATCTCCAGGTGTCA